TTTTAATACAGTGGGTGGGGCCCGCCGCTACAGTGAGGGGCCTGTGAAAAACTGCCCTGTACGCAGGGCATTTCCCAAAACTAATAGACCATAACTTAGTATAAATCAATGTTATAAGAACTGAAACAGACAAGAAAGGACTGGACGGTTCAGCCAGGAAACGGTCCGAAATCCGGTCGGGGGGTTCATGTAAAAATCCAAATATTCTAAAATCACTTAAAACAAATTTGGAACCAGCCAGTATCAGTGAAAACCGGTTGATCAGGAACTGGTTTTACTGGTACATTTTCAATGAAGAAAAAAAGGTTATCAAATTTTTATTTTTACCAACAGATCCACCTCAGATCAAACCCAAATTGACCCTTGACCTTTACCCTTTTTGGGTCAATGTTCAGGCCGGTTTTAAAAAAATAGTAGAAATCATTAATGACAGGAGTATCCTATATACATATCTGCTACATATGTGATAGTCTCCGTCGCTCCCAACCCAACAAATGGATAAATAAATGATAAACAGTAGCAGTAGTAATATTTATCGTTAAGATGAGGATGAACAATAATATTAATGAGGAGAGAAAAAAAGCAAGTGGTTTTAATAATTATCACGCAGAAAAAGTCATGACCAGCTACATGGAAAATCCCCCCACCCCATCCCACGGTCCCCACCCCACCCAACAAAAAAAAGGTGAATGGCATGAATAAGAAGATAGATGCTTCATCTTTTACATGTCTGATAATCAGAACAATCTCCATCATGAGAAACAAATAATATTTCTTTTAGCTTGATTTTGGTTTATCGGATATGGCAGAGAATATTTCTAAATAATACAATAGTAGTTTTTATGGAAAAAAGTCAAAACTTATATTATATATAGACTATTTTTAAATTTCAGAACCATAGACACCAAGAAATATTTATTACCTTGAATAGCAACGCACGATGACGAGCCAATCCAATTGTCAAAGAACCAAGAGGTAAAACAATGGTACCAAGATTTTCCTTCAATTTATAACTGAGATTTCTCCATGATATCAACATGTTGTCGGGATCACCAACCGGGCCCCCCATGTAGTCAGAAACTAAAGTTGCAAGCTTCTTCACCATATTGCTTACAAAGTTTACAGAATCTGACCTTAATTTGACAGCCATCTCTAACGCTTTCTGTCCAAGGTTTGACAACTTGATGTCAGCTTCTTTATTGACAAGAATGGCTTCCCAACTAACATTGTCTGAGACTGGAATTCCTTGCAAATCAACAAGGGAAGGCATTTTTGATGATGTGGACTTGGACATGCCGTATAGGTCATAGAAACCATCCAGAATCTTGTCATCATAGCTAAGAGCTTTGCAATTCTGTTAAGCATCAACAAATCTACTATATGAGATATGTTAAGAAAAAAATAAAGAGGGTACATACGTATCAAAGTGTAGAATTTGAGAAATTAATATAATCTCATTTTTCATCAAAATGTCAAATATGATTCACAATTGACTATTTAATGATTACATAGGAAAAATAGATAAACAGAAAATAACTAATTGATAACTACCACGAAAAGTAATCTCCTAAAATATCTTCTAAAATATTAACCCATTAACAACTAACTTCCCTAAAAAATTAGCAATGTTTAATTGATTTGATAGACTTTTCCAACACTCCCCCTTGAACTCAATATGGTGTTGTCGAATTTGAAAATTAAATTGATCTAAGCAAATCATCATCCCCACTATTTAAATGGTCTCTCAAAATTTCATTTACATTACATGCTGGCTGAGAAAATCAAGATCTAGAAGTAGGTGCGAGCGAAAAACATTATCCACCATGACCATCACCAAGACTTGAGGAGCACATCCCACATGTAGAAAAACTAGTACTCTGAAAATCCCAGGGATTACCCGCAATCCATTCACAAATGGAGCCAAAAAGTGGCCTAACAACAAGAACCTAGGTAAACTAGGAGCCTAAGTGGAAAAGTAATAACATTTTCTTCCAAACAAGGGGTTCCAACAGCATAATCAACAATAATCTCTCCTTCAACACGAGAGTTTTGTGACTAAAACCTATGATCGTAACTCTGACATTAGTAATAACAATAGAAACGATCACAATAAACCTTAGAGGGTACCAGAAGAGGCTAATTTGCTCCAATCTCAAATTTCATGGACCAAATTTAACCTTATAAGAAGTTCAGGACAAACTTGAAATTGGACGAAAAATATGAAAAATATTGAAACCAGAAGCCCAACAAGAACCAAAATACCCATATAACATGCAGCAGTCTAAATAACACAATGTCGTTACCACCCAAATCATAGAAACTGTACCACAACCCAGGATTTGCAGCACTTAGGGTGCCAACCAAAAAATAACAATTCAGGTAAAACTCTCACAATGGCAAGTTGCTGAAAATAGAACCCCTCACCTCGCACAAAAACAAGTATGAGGGTTCAAATAAATTTGAAAGCCCGAGCAAATAAGCAATTAGTAAGCTAACCACTAGACAAGTCATAGTCACCAGCCAAAAAAACAAAAAAAAACAATTGCTGCATTAAGAAATGCACAATTGCTAAATTAGAAAAATAGAAAAATATGTTGGCAAGAATAACACATCGTAAAATCCCTTGCACCAGCAAAAAATAAGAACTATCCGAAACAATTTAAGACCTCGACACCAAGAAAGAGGTTCAGCGCACGTCATAGCAGCAAAAAAAGTCAGAAACAAAGTCTCCTGCACCATAACGGTTGTGAAAATTACAGCAACAAGAACACAGTCATTAGTTTTGTAAATGTAGGGTTTGCAATTTGGTAATAAATTTAAATTCTTAATTTAGAGTGAGGTAGAGGGTAGAGGTCATCAGAGATGTGAAAATTAACAATACAAAAGGCAGAGAGGGAGGAAAACGAAGGGGGGCTAGGGTTTCTACATTGTGTGAAATTGATTGAAAATACAAAGAAGAGGAGACTTTAAATAGTCTCACAAGT